TTCTGTTCTCAGAGCAAATTCATGGTACCTCCACTTGGAGAAGAATTTTAGGATTACAGCTCATCTACCATTGCCATAAGGATTATTTCTGTGAGCAGACTCAGAAGTCAAATGAAGTACCAGGTATTAGGGACTTTTACCGTTGACTTGAATGGGAGCAGGATCATAGATTTTACATGGTGAATGCATAAGCAGCCTAGGAAGCTTACTGAGGTTACTTATCTTTTCCATGGCAAATTAAATAGGCGTCTCTTCTCAGAGCTGTCAATGTGGCAGCTTTCATGCGCACTAAATTCATCCTTTAAAGAGAAAACATGTTAAGAAAAAGGTAATGTCTTTTCTGATTTAAAGATACTGTAAAAAAAAAACACAAACAACCAACAAACAAACCTCTTTTCAAAGCAGAAAACAAATCCCTTGTATATTCATGTGGGTTACTAAGTAGTTTCCAGACCAAAATACTGCATGTCTTTTATCAGAGCAAAGTAAAGATGATACAATATTCTTGTCTGAGTTTAAAAATATATACAACAATGGAATATTGATAGGAACAAATAATAATATAAAGGAGGATTGAATGATATACTGTGGGAGCTGATAAGAATTATTTGGCTTCTAGCAGAGAAGTAAATGACATAAAAGGATACAGACTGATGGCAATAGGAAATGCAGTATAAAGAGGATCATAGGAGTAAACAGGGAATAAATTTGGATAACAGCAGACAAGCATTTAAGATATAATGCTTATTGAATTATGCATTGTAGCCAGGTGGGGTAGACTGTTGCATCTTGGCCTGGAGTTGTAGCCTCCATTGCCCTGTCTTTCTCCAAGAGTTCAAACTCTCCATAAAATGAGTTGTTAACAGCTGTTTTATTGGCGGCCCTTGGGGCCCACTTACTCCACTTTAGATGCAAGGTTGGTACAAATGCATCCCTAAGAAATGGAGAATTAGACCAAGTTCAGAGTGGGAAATCATGAGAGACCCACTCCAGAGCTGTGGAGGAAACTACCATGCATGGAGAAAAAAAATGCTGACTTTTTTTAGTGTGACTCATCTAAATATTGTCTTCTAAAATCAGACATCTAACCAAAGCTATTCAGCTAGACTCTCCCTAAGGTTAAAAGAGAGAGCTGGGGACACTTCCAAATCACTATTTAGACTTTACCTTTTTTTTTTTCTGTCTTGGGATGGATACAGTCTGCAGGCTGCTATTAATGTTGGGGTAGAAACCAAGCACCACATAAATGGAGGACACAGGGACCACTTTTAAGAAATGACTGGCATGCTTTGAAATTATGAAGAGGGTCTGGGTACCAGTGCAGTTCAGCACCCTAACTCAGGCACCTCATCTGTGCTGGCTGCAACTCTGCCCCAGAGAGTGGTTGGAGCAGGTTAGCTGATGCAGCCTGGGAGCCAGCTCACATCTGCCCCTTCTCCTGTAGGAGCCCAGCCATTAACACTGACTGAAGAGGTAGCTTATAATTAAAGTGCTTACATTTGGAAGGTCTGAATACTTGTTTTCCATATATCTGACCTCTGCACTGGCATTCAGAGCCTGAAGCAATGTGCCTCGCTGTGATTCCTCATGGCAGATCCTACTGCAGGAATTAGGCCTCTGGGGGTGTATGATGAACATATTTCCCTGCTGAGTAGCAGGATTAGTGGTATGTTTCTGCAGACCATGAAGGAGGTGAAGGTGATGGGAACACCCAGAAGCACACAGAGATGTGCACACTTACGAAGTGAAAAATTTGGCTAGACCTTGAGGCCACTATGAAAACACAGCAAGACCTAGCTTAGTTTGGGAACCCACAAACTAAGAGGTGAACATCTTCCCAGCAGATGTTTCTTTACAAATACTTAATCATTGAGACTGCTAGTCTTTGTCTGAACTTGAGTGCCAGACCCACTGTCATGAGGTATCTGATGAGGAGCAATGCCAAAATAAATTATTTGTTAGAAGGGATACGGAGCAAGTCTCAGCAGTAATCTTCAGTTGGAAAAATGCCCTTATCACATTTAAAATGGGGAAATATGAATTTCATCTTAAAACACTGATATACTTTTGATACAGTGCTATGGGTGGCTTGGGGAGTAAGGGCACAGCACATCTACAGAAAACACGGGTGGCAGGATGACACTGAGAGACTCTTTTAAAATCCTACCTCTGGGAATTCATAGTTAGGAATACTCTTCACTGACATTTGAAGTTGGCTTTGATTTCTCATGCTGCCTTGAACAACAATTTTCAGTCCAGATTTTGTAAGAAGGAGGTACAGCATGCTGCTTTATTGCAGCTGCCTAGAATGGAAACTACTGTTTAAAAACAAAAGAGCACCTCACCCAAAACACACACAAAAAATCCCACTACATGATAGACTTATTTCACAGTGGAATACCAAACCATTCTGCATCCATCAGACAAACTGATTTCAAGTGATTTTAGAAGTCACCTTAGGCACCTTAATTTGGAAGAACAGCGAGTAATACTTCTCAAAATATTGTTGGTTTTAGGCTTGAAACACAAGTATTTTACTCAATACTTTTTCTCTGGATCCTATTACACTACTTTATTATTACATAGTTTCTTGCTGGCCACTGAGAATCTTAATTTTCAACATAAGCATAATTTAGAACATTTATTTTAAAATATATTGGCTGTACTTTTTTAAACAAGTTAACAGTATTTTAGGACAGGTTGGGAAGCTACCATCCTTGACAAGACTAATTCAATACCTATCATAAAATTGGTAACAGGGTAGAAAGAATGGAATAACAGGAGGAAATCCGCCAATGAGTGCTTTACCTTATTCAGAACAGTACTAATATAATAGACTGAACAAATCAGGTCTATAAATTTCTGTCAATATATGGTACCCATACAAAGTCTCATGCACCACCTAAACTTAAATGAGGTCGTTGTACAGACCCTGTGAACAGAAGTGAATTTCACCCTCAACAGTTGAAAAACTACCTTTCATTCTGATTGCATCAGAAAATTAATTTGCTCCATGCTCCAGCAAAACTGAAACTGGTTCAGTCATCAACGCAGTCTTTTGAATAGCACAGCCTATACTGTGCACACAAATAATCTGCTTTCAGGCTGAGTAGAGGGTTTTTACTGTTTTGTTGGTAAAATCTGGTTAATAAAAATATTGACATGTACATTGTATCAACCGATGTAAATAGTTCCATAATGATACAAGACCTTGACAACTACATTGAGGCACATGAAGATATACTAGTACAGAGGAAAATAAAGATGTCAAGAAAATATCTGAAACCAAGTAAGCAGAGCTTTAGTAAAAAGTGAAGGAAGAGCAAGGGAGACAAGGAATATGGAAAATGCAGCACGTTTGGGGCTTTTTGGGGGTACTAGATGGAACAAAACGGCTAATACAAAGATACATAGGCTACAGAGAAATGGCACCAGATAACCCAAAGGAAAAAAAAACAAACAAACAGAGAGGCAGTAGAAAATTAAGTTTGAAAAGTACTTTTGAAGAGTATTGAATACTATATCCTTAGCAAGGCTTCTAGTCCCATTCCTTGATTTAAACAGCTTCTCACATAGGGCCTGTGCACTCCAGCCTCCTGCAGGAGGGTTGATTTCACTCAATATTCGTATCGCATCCTCCTAATTATCCATCTCTTTGTATTAATGATGAAATAATACAATCTTCTATTTTCCCTAATTAAGTTTATTATGGAGACATTTTTATGTGCCTATTTTTGAAAAATGAAATTTCATTAAAAGTCAGTGTATCAGATCTTATTAATTCTATTACATTACAAGATGAAACATTTCATCAGGAAAAAAAAAAAGACTGAATCAAAACCAACCCCAGACTTTGATAGTACAGATAAAAAAAAAAATTCCAATGCATTCACTTTTCAATCTCATTCTAAGCACTGCAAAACTTTCCTCATGTAAAGTTTTTAAATCAATAGAGAATGACTTATCACATTCTCCTACAGAAACATATTTTGTCTACTTTGCTCGGGATTTTTTATCCTCCTGAAAACATTATGAAATGCCAATGCATCTCACTAAGCCATTTTTTTCTTCTTCTTGTAATTAGGAAAAACTAGATAAATAAATTAATATCAATTGCCTTTGGGAAAACCAGGTTGGACTACAAGGCCTTTTAATAATTGGAATGGCAGTGCACTCTGCATGCTGTCAGTGCTTAGTGACAATTGTTAAGAGACAATTGATACATAGTGCCATCTTCTTTGTCCTTGCTGGACACTAGGGACTTTAGTGTCAATGATTTTCTGCCATCATCTGAAAGTGATAGGGGCCTATGAATGGCTGTAGCAAGATAAAGGATCCTTTGATATCCTGTAGAGGAATTGCAACGTTTTGCTGCTCTCCTGACATGTTCCATGGCCGTGACTCCAGGGGACACACACACACAGCTGACTGGTGTTGCTGAGGTTTGGAGTCTTCTGCTTCTTGTGAAGCTACTGCTCAGCATCACTGTGGCACTCCTGGTACCAAGGACAGATCACATGGCATGCCAGACAGCCTCAGAAACTCTGGGCTGCTGCTGGAGACTTTTTTTTACTGTTCTAGAAAAATAACAGTTATAGCAGAATATATAGACTGTGGCAGGAGACAGAAAATTTCACTTGCAAAATGCACAGAAGAATGACTTGTAGCACATACCTAATTGACTCAAAATGCTTATTTTGGTTTCCTGTAAACCACAAATTTATGTCATACAATTTTATCTGTTTTCCTTGTGTAGCAGTTTGTCTTCTAGAAGGAAGCACAGTTCCTGAAATTTTATATTTATAAAAACCTTTTTTCAGCCTTATTTCTTGTGCTAGAATGACTGAAATACAGTTTTAAAGGGTTAGGGAAAATAAAGGATTGTTTCTTATGGAGCTTGATCCTGCCTATCCATCAACTTCGTATTGTTAATCATAGCAGCTGGGGTCTGTAGACCCCATCTATTCTCCCAAGGGAACCTAGCTTGCCCAAAGTTCACCTTAAAGCTCCTCCCTCTTATAGGCATCCACCATGCCTCCAGCATTTAGCCTGGTAGATGAGGAAAGAGCAGTGGACGTTGTTTTTTCCTCAATATAGCAGATATGGACATACTGGAGACAGTCCAGTGAAGGTCTACAAAAATGATGAAGGGACTGGAGCCTCTCTCCTGTGTGGAGAGGCTCAGAGAGCTGAGACTGTTCAGCGTGGAGAGAAGGTTTGAGGTATAGGATCTTATCAATACCTATAAATACCTGAAGAGAGAGAGCACAAATATAGGAAATTAAATTTAAACATAAGAAAAAACTTTCACTGTGAGGGTGACCAAGCACTGGGACAGGTTGCCCAGGGAGGTTGTGGAGTCTCCATCTTTGGCTATATTCAAAAGCCATCTGGACATGGTTCTGGGCAACTGGCTTTATGTATCCCTTCTTGAGGGATTGCTAGACCAGATGACCTTTGGAGGTCCCTTCCAAGATCAACCATTCTCTGAGTTCTGTGAATGCAAAGAATGACTAGAAAAGTGCACTTTGATGGTGCAAATTCACCATCATTTATGGGAATCTAGTGCTTCCTAAGAGGTGAAGACTCATTCCAAGTAAGGCCAGGAGTGCCTGACTTTATTGCACAGTACTTTGATGCAGTTAAGGCATTCACAGGACATGTTTGCAAACAGCACAGTGAGTGATGCCGAACATTCCAGGACATGACTTCCCCTGGAGCTGAAACAAGGGTATGTAGCCTGCCAGGCAGAAAAGGTCTAGAGCTATACCTGACATTTGTCACTGTGATTGGGATCAGGCCTGTAGGCCTACCCTTTCCCCAACCTGACCTTTGGAAAAAATCAATCCATTTTGGTACCTTCACTCCCACCTTTCCAAAGTGCATAGCGGTAAAGAAAAATATGGGTAAAAACCTAGCAGCATGCCAAAAGGAAATGCAAACCTGGCTGATAGGTGAAGATCTTCAGTGGAGCTGCCCAAATAAATTAAAATGTAAAGGTAGCAATATTCAGGAGAAACAAACCCCAACAGACAACCATGAAATCTTTCCATTGCCCTGTGAGCTCCAATATAGATTCTGTGTCAATGATGGCAGTCACACCCACAAAAAACTGGACCAACAGCAGGCACCTTTTGAGCACAGTCTTGCTTGAAAAAGATGTGCAAGGATATTTCTGTTCGCTTGTGGCGAAAAATTCAGTTCAGCAAATAATTCAACAAGTGTAAATAAACAAAAGCTATGTCCTAAACAATGCAAATCCAGGGTAGTGGATAGGGCACTAGACTAGAAGAATAATTAAGCCTTTACATACCCAAGTGTGTTGGTTCTTCTGAGATTTCACTATTCATGTATATACTATCTTCACAGACATTTTATAGGCTGTAAACATTTGTTCCTGTGGAAGGCAACATCAAAACCCTTTTAAGGCTCTTCTTTGTCACTAGGCTCTTCTACACGGCTAATACTGGTCAAGCAGTTTCTCCACAAGGACAAAGAAACACAAGGGGACAGCCAAGCTAGGTGCAATGTGCAGTAAGCATGTGGTTATGCAGCCTAAACTGAAGAAACGCTTAAAGGCACTCTATTCGGTCACTCTGGTTTACTCTATCAGCTGGTTTGCTCTAATTTTGTTCCAGAGTGCCCTCCAGAGGGTAAACAGTGACTGTGAAACCGCTCGTAAAATACAGCCTTGAGGTGGGCAAAGAGATCCTCTCACTTTGCTCTTGGGAAACCAAGAGCCGTAGACCACTTCTGTCTCATCTTCCAAACTTTACCTTTGCAGATGAAACTAAAACAAGGGCTGCGTTGAATCCTGTATGCCCTACACACAAGGATTTAAGGACCTATCTCACATGGGACAAATAGATGGTCCCCCAGTAACAGGGCATAATGTAAAACAAGCACAAAGTCCCTGACTCTCTGCCAGAAGGTCAGACTACATCTTTTGCTTTCTCCATTACTGCTTTCTCCTTACTGTTTAAACACACAATAAAGCCCAGAAACACTTCCAGAGAGATTCAACAACCTTAACAATATGCCACTGACGTGATCTAGAGTGTTCTAGACGTGTTCATGGAATTGGCAAAAATTGAGGAGAATCTGTGAAAGAACTATGCCTTTCTATAGTGAAAGCTGGGGGCCTGGTGGGATACCCTATAGCATTTAAAATGCCACTGAACATCTGTATTCATACATCTGAATTGCTCCCTTGTCTGCTCCTTTTAGTGGGAGGGATGGAATATAAATGTGCAACAAATTCTAGTTATGTTGCTTAATGCATCATTGTTCACATCATCCAAATAATGTGGTGATCTGACATTACTCATTTAATTGTTCCACATTTTAGGATTTCCCAGGCAGTTTGCTGAAAGGTGGTTTAAGAATTCTAGTAAAATTGTTAGTTTGGATCTTTGGACTCAAGCTACAGTAAATGTCTTGCATGATACAAGTCCAATTTTATTTTTTTTTTTACTAGGAAAGAACTCTATTAAAAAACCTTTCAGCATTATTTACAACAATAAAACCAGGATGAAATATCTGCTGTCTTAAAGGCTGATAATGGTACAGAGATTACAAATTGCCGTTTCAATAGAGTTGTCTGTCTGCTTGAGAGTGGCTTTTTACACTACAGGGAAGCTAACCATTTCAGCTATTTCATAATACCAGTGATGAAAGAACTGCTCTTCTGTTATAACCCTATTTTATGTCTAAAGCACAAGGCAGAGCCTCTGTTTCACTATTCCTTAATTCCAGAACAAATGTTACCCTCTTTCTTTCAGAGAATTATAAACTGTGCCTTTATTTACTTGCATAGCACAATTTTCACGCATTTGACAGGCCATTGCTCATGTTCTTCATTGTCATGGTATTAGTGAAACGTAGCATAAGCTCTAAATTTACAACTGCTGTCCAATCAATAAGAAGATCACACCATCTGAATAATGCTATGATATGTGACATTATCTATTCAACTGTTCTATTTCTTTGGACTTGTGAATGCTGTCACATTGAAAATGAACACCATTTATGCTGACAGATTTTTTACCCATTCAACACCTTTAATGAATATATTTCAAAATGAGGTACCAAATTAATTAAACTCAGTATCAAATCAAAACAGAGATATTAACATTATTTGTAGCAGCAAAGTTCTAAGTAAATTATACTGAACTTACATATGCAGTGCATTTAGCAAAAACAGGGTTTTCAAATAGCATAAATCTTGTTGGATGTCAACCTGCCACAGCAATGACATGTAGACTTTATTCTTTATATTTTCATGACAAGAACAAAAGGGCGCTTTGGCATCATTTTCTATTGCATCAAATTGTGTACAAACCAAATTTACTGCTACCAGAAAGTTTACCAAGGAAGCTCTGTAAACTTCAGTAAAAGACTCCTGTACCTTTCATTGCCCATTTGAGACTATCATCATGAAGTTTTGACATAAAATCTTCTTTGTAGATATTTTTCCTGGACCAATGACATTTTAAGGTGTGTGCTGCATCTAACACTCTTTTCCCATCCATGAAGTATCCTTTATAACAGAATTACACAATTTCAGGAAGAATGGCTCATGAATAGGTTCTCATTAGACTTATCAAGTCTCATCCCACACGGTATAGAACCTGCTTACAGTGCAACACCCCCTTTTATGAGGGGGTTACAGAACTGATAGATAAGGGCAAAGCACTTGATGTCATCTACCTGGACTTGTGCAAAGTTTTTGACACTGTCCCGCACAACATCCTTGTTTCCAAACTAGAAAGACACAAATTCGATGGATGGACCACCTGGTGGATAAAGAATTGGCTGGATGGACACATGCAGAGAGTTGGGGTCAACAGCTCAATGTCCAGCTGCAGATGGGTAATGAGAGGTGCCCTCAGGAGTCAGTTTTGGGATTGATCCTATTCAACATCTTTGTCGCTGACATGGACAGTGGAATTGAGTGCGCCCTCAGCAAGTTTGCCAATGGCACTAAGCTGTGTGGTTCGGTTGATAGGCTGGAGGGAGGGAATGCCATCCAGAGGTACCCTGACACGCTTGAGAGGTGACCAGTGCCAAACTCATGAAGTTTAACCAAGCCAAGTGCAAGGTTCTACACCTGGGTAAGGGCAATCCAAGGCACAGGCTGGGTGAAGAAGAGATTCAGACCAGGCCTGCAGAGAAGGACTCGGGCTTTTTGTTGATGGGAAACTTAAAATGAGCTGGCTTCAGTGTGTGCTCACAGCCCAGAAAGCCAGCTGTATCCTGGGCTGCATCAAAAGGAGCGTGACCAGCAGGTCGAAGGAGGTGATCCTGCCCCTTTACTCTGCTCTCATGAGACCTCACCTGGAGTATTGTGTGCAGTTCTGGTGTCCTCAACATAAAAAAAACATGGAACTGTTGGAACAAGTCCAGAGGAGGGCCATGAGGATGATCAGGGGACTGGAGCACCTCCCGTATGAAGATAGGCTGAGAAAGTTGGGGCTGTTCATCCTGGAGAAGAGAAGGCTGCATGGACACCTCATAGCAGCCTTCGAGTATCTGAAGAAGGCCTACAAGGAGAGGGACTCTTCATTACAGGACTGTAGCGATTAGACAAGAGGTAATGGGTTTAAACTTAAACATGGGAAATTCAGGTTAGATATAAGGACGAAGTTCTTTACTGTGAGGGTGGTGAGACACTAGAACACGTTGCCCAAAGAAGTGGTAAATGCTCCATCCTTGGCAGTGCCACTGACATGATCTAGAGTGTTCTAGACATAGGCCTTGGGAGACATGGTCTGGTGTGAGGTGTCCCTGCCCATGGCAGGGGGGTTGGAACTAGATGATCTTACAGTCCTTTCCAACCCTAACCATTCTATGATTCTATGATTACCTTTACAGAATACACCAGTACTGCCAACAGGTCCCTCACAGCATGATAGTGTAGCAAACTTCTTGTGTGAAAAAGTTTAAAACTGGATTCATACTTTGTGAGTGTGATATCCTGGTGCATGAATGCTTTTTGTGTCTTAAGATAAGTGCACCTTCATCTTTCAATAAAGACAGTCCTAACAGGGTTAAATGATATTTATGGACAATAAGGTAAAGATTGATATTCGGAAGGATTATAGGAGAATAGTTTATCAAAACTTGTATGATTTTGGAGTTTTTCAGTAACCTTTTGTATTGTAAAAAATGAAATTGCAAGAAACATGTCATTCCCAGAGCTGTGCTCTCACTATTTTTATAGAGCAAGCAAATCAATTCACGTTCCATTAAA